CGAAGAGGGTAAGGACGCATCGGGCAGTTCGGGGCGCGATGCGCGAAGTTGGGCGACGTACAGTGGAAGCCCATGCCAAGAATAGGGGAACGAAGAATAACATAAACATAAAAACTCGGAGGTCCGCGCGGATTTCTCGGATCGGCGCTGCCCCCTGGCGGCGCCTCTGGCGCCGCCCCTGGCGCGCGCTCCGCGCGCCAGGGAGGCGGGTCCAGCGCCGATCCGAGAAATCTGCGCGGACCTCCGAGCTTTTTTATGTTATGTCATTCTTCGTTCCCCTCGAGAAACACCGTGCTTGCCTCCAGGGTGCATTAAGTTTCTTGGGGTTCGATGGTTTTGCGATGGAAAGCGTGACGTTCCCACACCAATAATCTGTGGACGTCCTGGGGTCTCAGGGTTGGGTCTCTTGTCGAAGGTCTCTTGTGCTCAAGCTCATACCGCACGCACCGGGCACCGCGGGACGCGATGCGCGAAGTGGGGCGACGTAAGCCCCCCCCCCCCTGGACTTGGCATCCCTCGGACGTGTGCATGCTTTTTCGCGGCGGGGACCGTCGAGGAGCATCCTGCACCCTCGCGGGAAAAAGGCACGCGCGACCTCGAAGAGTGCACGGGAAGTGGGCGTCTGAGCGATGGCCAGTTGGCGCTCTCCCCTCGGGTCGGGTATAGCCAGGACCCCAGGTAAGGGGACCCGGTCAGTGGTAGGGCCCCGGAGCCCCCAAATCGGCCAGAATCGCGAAACCAGGTTTGCCGTGGCTGGTGCTTTTCGGGTGACGGCAGTCCCGGTCAGCCAGTACCCATCGGTCGTTGGAATTAGGTGTTTTTTTTTTGAATCCCAGATTCCAATCTACTTTACACGCCCCTCGACTTCCATGATCGAGGGGCTTCGCTTTTTCCGTCCTCTTCAGGGGGCGGGCGGACACCCAATCTACTTTCAACGCCTTCCTACTTCCGTGCTTCTGCCCACTCCTCCCGACCGATGGGTGCACATCATGAAACCAGGTCCCACCGCACCCAGTTCTGCCAACGCAGAAAGCATCTATACACCACCACCGTGCCAGGCCAGGGCCATCCTGGGCCCTAGGATGGTGTATACGCCCTCCTGGCCGAGCCAGGAGGGTCTATACACCATCATACGACCAAGGATGGCCCTGGTCTGGCACGGTGACGCCCGATCAGGATCTGGGCGACGCCCTGGGGCTCAACGCGGACGACGTCCGCCGCGCGGCCCTGGACGAGCACGCGGCCGCCAGATTCCGGCGCGTGGCGGGCGAGGCTCGGGCGCAGGCCGTGGGGCACGCCAGGGCGCTCTTCGACCTCGACGCGCTCCTGAAGGCTCGGGTACAGTCGGGGCCCTGAAGAAGGAACCCTTTTCGTTGGGGAGGGGCTCGGTGTTCCTTGCTTATTCTGCAATGTACCTTCGGTACTCCTGAGGTTTCCCATGGGAAGTCGAAGTTCAACTTACGGGAGAAAGGGGCCTCGTTCCTTATTTAGGGTTCCTTAGGTCAACGCCCCGACTGTAGGGGATCGACTGCAGAAACGAGGTGCCCCAGACTCGGTTTCCCGTCGAATCTATGGAAAATGCCCAGGGAACTCGGTCCCTGCACAAGACTTCCGCGCAGCCGTCGCAGATTCGAGGGGGAGAGTCGAGCCTGGGGCAAGCCAGCTCTGTAGTCGATCCCCTGCTCGAAAGGTGCTGATGGCCGAGCTCGGCTCCTTCAGCGCCGACTCCGCCCCGAACTCCCTGCCGCGGACGTTCCTGGACTGGGCCGCGTCCCGGCTGAAGGAGAGCGGGGGAGGCGGCCGAGCATCCGTTTCGTCGCCGTGGTAAGGCTGAGGTGGTTGGCGTCGGCGTCCACTTACAGTCAGGTCGGGCACGTCCCTCTTCAGGAGGAGTATCCCAAGATAGTAAAAACATCGTCTGGGGACGATTTTTCGACTGCCTGAGGCAATTCTTACACGTTTGCACTGTTCCTCCAAAACCCGCCTGCAGGAGGCAATGCCCGACCGTTGTGCTCTCCGTCGCGGCACGAGGGGCGATCCGCTCGCGCGCGACGCAAGTCTGGGCTGCGGAGTTGCGAGTTGTCCCGCGCGCAAGAGGGGGAGGAGCCGGCGTCCACGTATCGGGGGCGGAAAAGAGGGGGGTGACGACTAGGGGGGGGGTGGATATCATGGCGCGGGCCATGATTTTTCCTCAGATTTCATGGCGCCTCTTCTTATTTCATTACGTCCCAGGCCCCCTCGCTGGGCCGCGCACATGCCGCCAGTCATGATTTGCACACCCCCTCTTGGACACCCCCCTCTTGGCCGCTCCCGAACGTAGAGTCGCCGTCCACAAAAAGTGAGGTGGTTGGTTTAACCCAGGGTGCCCCTGCTTCCTTGCCGCTTCGGCCCATCCTTGGCCGACCTCGTGACCCCCTGGCGCTGCACCCTCAGAGAGACGCCCACGGTGTCCTGCGCCCTCGGCCAGCATCGTCCACGAAGCGCCGCGGCTGCACACCGATCCTGGGGAAGCCAAAGGGTACCCACGCCGCCACTCCCGCGGACCTCTCCCGGGGTGCGGTCCGACCAGGCGGCGCGGGCTCCCCAGGAGGCCCCAAAAGGGGAAAGCGAGGGAAGGGTGGCGGCATGGGTACTAGCTTTTCCTCCTCCGAGATCCTGGCCGGGCGGCTGCGACCGAGCCTGGCTGGGCTGGAATCGTTGAACTGTGAGTCAGAGCCCCGAATCATCAGGGGTAACTCGGGTCAGGGCTAACTCGGGTTCGCTTTTCGGGATTCCGAACCCGAGTTACCCCGGGCCCGAGTTACCCCGGATAATTCGGGCGTCCAGAGCCCCAAGTCATCAGGGATAATTCGGGTCAGGGCTAACTCGGGTTCGTTTTTCGGGAATCCAAGCCGGCGTTACCCCGGACCCGAGTTACCCCGGATAACTCGGGCGCCCAAGTGAGGTTTAAATCGGTCGTGTGCCTCTACGGGAGGCATGCTCCAAAATAGCCCCCCCCCCAACAAAAAAACAGTCTGGGGACGATGCTTTGCACATGTTTGAGCATTTGCTGATGCCTGTCTGACTGCATTCTGTTTCTCGTCCCGCAGCCCGCCTGTAGGAGGACGCGTCCGACCCAACTCGAGGTGCGCCTCCCTGGCCGAGCCAGGAGGACGTGCGCGCAGCGCGCAGCCAGAATCTACTTCCGGTGCCTTCCTACTTCATGTTCTACCCACGTCTTTCGGGCGGACGAAAGGGGGGGATTGGGAAAGGGGGGTTACGAAATCTGCTGCATGCAGCCCCACCGGGGGGCCCATTCCTCGATACACAGCCGCCTCCGGCGCCGGGAGGCGCCAGGAAAATCGGCTGCGTGAGCTGATTCTCAAATCCCCCCCCCCTTGGCTATCCCCCCCTATTTCGCCCGACCCGAGTCTCCCGACCGGCGTGTACCGGTTCCTCCTCCAGGATCGGTGCACTGTCAGGTGCGCCTTTCCCTGGCCGAGCCAGGAGGGCGGGCGCGCAGCGCGCAGCAGCCTCGGGCCCACGTGGGGCGGGCCCGGCCTGGCGCGGCCTTGCCGGATCGGGCTCGGCGGCGAGTCCTCCAGTTCGGCCCTCCCGATCCTCCTCCTCGCCCCTCCTCCGTCTCTCTCTCTCTCTCTCTCTCCCTATCTCTCTCTCTCTCTCTTTCTTTCTCTCTCTCTCTCTCTACCTCTCTTTCTATGTACATGTGTATATATATACATATGAGGAAGAGGCGGAGGAGGAGGAGGAGGAGGCGGAGGCGGAGGAGGAGGAAAAGGAGGGGCGTGAGAAGGAATCGGCGGCGGGCCCATTGGGGAAGTGAGAGACTCTCTCACTTCCCCAATGGTCCCCACTGAGAGAGGGGGCAGGCCTTTTGAGAAGGCCGCGGGGCTTCGCAGCAGCCCTCGCGCCTTCCGAGGGGCCCTGCATGCCCTCTCCGAAGCCACGGGCCGCCCCTCGGAAGGCGCGGGGGCGTCTCGGAGGCCCCGCCGCCTCCTGGGATGGCCTGTCCCGCCCCGCCTCCCCCAGGGCTCTCCGCCGATTCCTTCTCACGCTCCTCCTCCTCCTCCTCCTCCTCCTCCGCGTCCTCCTCCTCCTCCTCCTCCTCCTCCTCCTCCTCCTCCTCCTCCTCCTCCTCCTCCTCCTCCTCCTCCTCCTCCTCCCTCTTCACCCCCCATCCCAGGAGAAGCACGTCGTGGTCGACGAGGACACGTGTTCTCGCGTGGAGGTGGGCGAACCCCTGGCGCTGGCGATCCTCGAGGACCTCTTCCTGGACCGCCCGCCGCCGCCGACCGACGAGGTGTACCGCGGGCACCGGCTGCGCGAGCTGTTCCTCCCTCGCTGACGAGGCGATCGACGGGTGCTGGCCGAGATGCCGGCTGCTCGTCGTGCCACGCAGGCGAGGAGGGATGGGGAGGAGGAGAATGAGGAGGAGGAGACGGAGGAGGAGGAGGAAGAAGAAGAAGAGCGGGAGGAATGCGGTGCAGGAGGAGGAGGAGGAGGAGAAGGAGGAGGAGGAGGAGGAGGAAGAGGCTTAGGAGGAGGAAGAGAAGGAGGAGGACACAGGGCCCTGGAGCGGAGCTCTGCCTTCTCTTCTCAGTGTTTGTGTGCGCCATCTTCTCTGCAAGGCGGCGTGCCTCTGTTTTCTTTTTGTGTTGTGCCTCCGGCACGCTGCCTGGCGAACCCGTACGTGGTGCAACGCCAGCAGCGGCGGCGGGCAAGGAACGAGGGAACGCAAGATTCGAGTAAGCCAGAACTCTGGCTTGCCGACGTTGTTTGACGATCGCGTCTTGCGTTTTGACGGTCCAGTGTTCGTGGGACGTCTGCAGCGGGAGCTCGCGTCAAATTTCAGATTTGGTTTCGTCATTTTCAAGATGGCCTTGTCAGGCCAACCCCGAGTCCCCCGTACCCGAGTCTTGCGCCTCCCCGTGGTCGGACGGAGGCCTAGAGATTAGCACCAACACCAACACCGGTGGTGCGCCTCCACCGAGGGAAGGTGG